TTTGCAAATCAGCTTTCCTTAGCGTTTGTGTATTTAATGTGGCTCAAGACAACTCTTTTTCTTCCAATTTGTGGCAGAGCTGCCTGGGAATTTTGGCCCTGCCACTTATTAGCTTGTGTGTCCTTGAGCATTTTCTTAATTCTCAATGAACAAAATATATAAAGCATTCAGCCAAGTGACAGAGATATGCATGCTCACTAATGGTAGCTGTTGTTATGGTGTGACATTTCTTTGAAAAATATAAGGTATATGACTTCTTGTAGATTATTACTGTAAGTTTTGATAAATGTGCTGTTCTTTATATCCATCAAAGTGTTGCTTCTAAATTGTTAGCAGGAAGGCATAAACTTTGATTCTTTCCCCTTTCATGTGCTTCTCCAAGTGACATTTGAAAAGGTAGCAGATTGGTGGTGAGCAGCAGAGTCTTCAGTGATGAAGTTATGAGCCTATCTCTTACCATCATGAGCAGAGGTAAGGGGCTGCCTCTTACACCAACCATCACTCCAGAATAATCTCAGAATTTTGAAATGCTCAGAGCTTTCATAATTTTTTTTTTATCCTGTTAGTGAACCAGTTGAAGTAGCAAATTTATAAGGCAAAGACAAATGTGTTTGTGTTAGAAAGTGGATTCTAGGCTGGATGCAGTAGCTCATACCTGTAATCTGAGTACTTTGGGAGGCTAAGGCTGGAGACTGATGGATTGCTTGAAATCAGAGTTTAAGATCAGCCTGAGCAAGAGGGAGATCCATTTTTACTAAAAATAGAAAAACTAGCTAGGTGTAGTGGCTTGTAGCTGTGGTACCAGCTATATGGGAGGCTGAGGCAAGAGGATTGCTTAAGCCGTAGAGTTTGAGGTTACTGTGATGATACCATGGTACATTACCCAGGGCAACACAATGAGATTGTCTCCAAAAAAAAAAAGAAAAAGTGGAATCTAAAGTTTTTGGCTCCTGGTTGAAGCTGCTCTGGAGAAGCAGGCAGCAACCTGTGAAGGCTCATAGCTAAGCTGCAGTGGTCAGCTACTCTTGCTGTGGAAATGCAACAGCTGTAGCTCAGCACTGTTTGGGCATTAACCAATATTCCAATAGCCAGCAATTGCACAATACAACACACCTCTCCCCACCTCCACCAAAGGAAAATGTGAGAATGGAGGAGAGGGAGATCACACAATTGTCTCTTCTTAGATTCTACCACCAGACTCATTAGCCTCTTCTCTTACCTTCTCTACAATCTATCTCCTTGACAAGATTATTGCCAGGAAGGAGTTAATGAGTACACAGTTTTATTTCCCTTGGAAGAAAGACACAAAACAGGCTTGAAGTAGGGCTTTCATCACTCTGCAAGTTTTGGGGGGGTTTTATAGGTAATTATTAACCCTTTGTCACATTTCTGGAAAAGAAACCTTCATGCTGAAAGAACCTACTAAAATTTTTCGATCTATATTATACATAGGCTCTTAATTTTTCAGAATTAAAATTCAGTAACAGCTTAAAAATAGAAGTTAAGTGTATGTAACCCTAAACAGTTTGAAACATCACTGTGTCCTTTAAGAAAGTGGATTCTTCCTTAACACTTTTAGCACTCAGGCCAGAAGGTACTATTATCCTTGTTTCCCATCTGAGAAAACGGAATCTTAAAGGGAATGACTGGCTAAAGTTTTCATGGGTAATAAGGCCTGGCTAGACCTCAGATCTTCTGAATGCTGCCTATGTGCTCTCTTAAGACCAGAACATAATGTAAAATCTTGCCTAACATTAAGAAAGCACCTCTGAATCTCAGCATTCTTTACAACCACCAATTATCAACACCTAGAACTGTATGTAGCCACAATTCAGTCTCCGGGAAGCTGTATTGTTTTTTTTTTTTAAATCCCTATGGTCAACCTGCTTTTTTGTTATTTTGTCATTTGCTTGTCTACCCAATTCTTGGTGATTTCAGGCTTTTTATATTTTGGATTTCTCAATTTCTCTCTCTAGTGGTAGTTTAGGATGATTAACTGCTAAGACTTCTGTAACTGTCATTGGGGATTTGATTCCATGATGGCCCTGGGAGTTTGGTCTCTGGCAGATTACAACGAACTGGAAAAATCAAAATTTCCTAGATGACCTACTCAAGAAATAAGTTACTATTTACAATTATGCAAATGACAGTGTTATGAAAATAAGGACCCAAAGTACCCAAATCAACTGTTGCTCTCTGCTGAATGTATCAAGACTTGCTTTTTTTTTTGTTTTGTTTTAAATCAGTGGGGACAAGGATTGCCTTAGACACTTTCCATTGTTGTTGTTAAGGTCTCCCTAATTTTATGTTTCAGCCACAGATACATTCTCTCCTGAGCTGGATATCACTGCTTTCCAAGCCCACACTCATTGCAATCGCAGGCAGGTTACTAGTATGTGGGCAAACTTCCACACGTGGTATGAAAGCAGACATGACTTCATGCTCCTCTGTAGACGAGAGGAACTGCCAAGGCTCAGGTGCCCTGTCCCCTCAGTGTTCCTCAGCTTTGAAACCCTTTTCTCTGGCTGTGTGGTAACCAGACCACAGGAGATGTTTTAGATTTGTGGGTACACCCCTACTTTGCATATTCTCAAATCCTATCATCCAGAACTCTGTGATCCCAAAAGAACATCTCACAGGTAAACCCATAAACATCTGAAAAATATTTTACAACACTAATAATGGAATTTTATAATACTAATAATAGGATAGACCTCAAAGATAAGAGTTTCCATCGGCTCAATTTATTTTATTTGATTATTTTGAGACAGACTCTCCCTTTGTCACCCTGGGTAGAGTGCCATGGCATCATAACTCACAGCAACCTCAAAGTCTTGGGCTCAAATGATCCTCTTGCCCTAGCTTCCCAAGTAGCTGGGACTACAGGCACATGCCACAACACCTGGCTAATTTTTCCTTTTTTTTTTTTTTTAAATAGAGAAGGGGTCTCGCTCTTGTTCAGGCTAGTCTCAAACTCCTGAGCTCAAGCAATCCTCCCAGCCCAGCTTCCCAGAGTGTTAGGATAACAGTTGTGAGCCACCATGCCTGGCCAGCTCAATTTACTTTTGGGGCATATGCTACTTTATTGGGGGCGGGGGAGGCTGGATGATTGGACAATTTTGTTTAAAAAAATGGACATGGGTATTCTCCCCATTAAATTACTCTTTTATGCTTTTTGGTCTTGAAAAACTTAAACTTGACATAGAGGATAAATAAATTTGAGTTCCTTTAAATTCTATTCCTCTTACTTGTCTTTCTCAAAAGGCATAGAAACAAAGAAACCTATTTCTTCTTATTCCAGATGGAAGGTGTATGTTTATATGGATTACAAATGAAATGGAAAAGCTGGTTAAGGTCTTGAGTACAATGGGTCAAGTGCAGAATTTTTCCCAATAACATTTCTTGGTATCCAATTTTAATTGATTTATACACGTTTGAGCACTGCTTTCAGCATCACTGCTGAGATCATGCAAAGAGAGAGAGAGAGAGAGAAAGATAAGGAAAAATGAGGCACCAGAGCATAATGAATCAGAAGGAAAAAGAGGAAAAAGGGAAGAAAAGGAGAAGAAAGGCAAAGAACAACCAGCTGACTACCAAGCCCAGACCAAATTTTGGGTTAAGAGGTGATCTTACAGTGGAGTTTAACACATTTATTGTGTCTCAAAGCAAACCCTGTAGAATTTACCAATAGTCGAATAAAACCTTAGATTTTTTATTTTTTTGCTTTTCTTTCTGAGGAACATCGCCTGCCCTTCATTTCCATAAAACACAACTCCGATTTAATGTGCTGGAGCAAATGTTTTTCAACAGATTTGACCTGCTTAATTTTCCTGACAATGTGTACAGTTTTGTTAGAAAGTTACATACTTTTGGGAAGGGATATGAGACACCGGCAAACCAAAACGCCCAGAGGGGCAGCTATATATTACAGTGCTAATCTTTTTCTTTTTTTCATAAAGAGTAAGGGAGCCTTACTGTTTCCGCACACTGTCACAACACATGGCTGCTATATTCTGATCTGTTAGAGCCAAAGTTAGCAGTAACTTGTTTCTTCTTCTATTCTTTTAGGAGCACTCTAGCTAGGGCTTCTTGAAACCGACATTAAAAGGCTCTGATTTTAAAACAAAACAAAGGAACCACAATAATAACAAGGAAACCCCTTTATGGAAAGCTGGAGCATTTCCAGAAATACCTTTCAACTAACTAAAGGCAGGAGAGGAAGGTGCACCTCTGAGACCTGGTTTCTGCATTTTCACATTCATTTTGATAGTTAAGGACATAGTGATGGATTTAAGACGTTAAGAACTAGTAAGGAGCAAAAATGAGCTCCAGACTGCTCAAGAAGAGAGGGAACCTCACCTAATGAAATAACTAAGAATGCCCCAATCAGGAGGAAAAGTGTGAAGTTTTAAACTGTGTCTTTGCTCCTGGAAGACACATGGAAAATGGGTCCGGATTTACTTTAAATCTGGGGTCCTGCTTGCCGCCTGGGGAGGAGGGAAGAAACTTTAGGGCCAGATCGTGCCAAAGCGGGGCGTTACCCTCTTAACCAACTTTCTCCCCTTTTCTAGACAGCGAAGGCATATCGTTACATCTTCCGTTCCAGCCAGATTCTTCATTCTCCAGCAACAACCTGTAAGTCTCCTTTAAGAGGCGGGGGCCGTCTCTCTCTTTCTCCTCCCAGTCCCCCGCCCTTCACACCTCGGGTGGGAAAAGAGCGTGGGGGCGGGGTGGCCCACTAAGGCGGGAGGGGCGGGATCCTGGTGAGCACACCAATGGTCCCCAAGGCTGGACGCCGGTAGCCAATGAACAGCAGGCTGGAGGCGTGGCGGGGCGCTGTTGCAAAGCGCCCAACGTGGGCAGGCAGGCTGCCCTGGGGCGCGGAGCCGAGGGGGTGTGTGCGGGCGCGCGGCCGGGGGCGGGGCCTGGGGGACTGGCCGGGCTTGGGCCGCCGGGAGGTTTGTGGCTAGCGCCTGATTGTTCGGCTCCGAGGTCGGCTGGTCTCTGGCTGCGTGGAGATACCCGGCGGCACCCGAGACTGGGCGTCCGCGCGCTTTGCCCGCGGCGCTGGGACAGCGAGGCGCACGGGGCCCCACGAGCGCTCTGGCCGTGCCGTCCATCCCGGGGTGTGCAGTGTTGCCCCCGGAGCCGAGAAGAGGATGCCCGCCGGCGCGGGGCTCGGGCTGCGAGGCTGAACGCCTTCATTCGGCAGCGGCAGCGGAACTTGGCGTGCGCGGGAGCAACGGAGTCTGCCCAGAGCGTGGCGAGAGGACGAAGAGCTCCGGCTGAGCGTCCCCGGCCCCAATCGGTGGGATTCGCAGCGACCGCGGGCTAGTTGGCTCGGATGGACACGGGGTTCGCGGCCCGGGCCGGGTGCTGTGGAGCGGCCGGGGCACCCGGGGCCCGTTGAGCGCCGGAGCCGCGGCCGCAGAGAGAACTCGTGCCGGCGGCCATGCCCCGGCGCGGAGCCTAGTGCCGAGCGGAGCCCCCGCGGGCCAGCCCGCGCCTGTAGCCGTACGGGACCCCCAAGTTCCCGCGCCCGGAGTTCGCAGCACGCTCCCGACAAGATGGCGCGGCGGGTCCCGGGAGCGCTCCGGGCCCCGCGCTGCTCATCTCGCCTTCTCCTGTGGCTGCTGCTGCTGCTTTGGCTGGAGCCAGCGACGGCTGTGGCCGGCCCACGGGCGCCTTGCGCGGCCGCCTGCACTTGTGCTGGGGACTCCCTGGACTGTGGCGGGCGCGGGCTGGTGGCGCTGCCTGGGGACCTGCCCTCCTGGACGCGGAGTCTGTGAGTACCTCTCTTTCCGCTCTCCCTGCGCTGTCATTTGGGGGACGGGGCGGCGGAGGTTAGTACCTGGTGGGAGGTTGCAGAATGGATTGTGTGTGTGGAGTTGTCTGGGCCGGAAGACGGCTGTCGTGGGGTGGCAGAGGTGGTATCGTGCGTGGGGGCTCAGGCGGGAGAGGGCGTAGGTGAGATTCTGCCGGGGAGAAGTGTGTAAGCCTCGGTCTGGAGGTGAGCGAGAGCGTGGGTCGTGAGGGTTTGGAGATCCCGAGGGCGATCTGGGGGATTAGTGAGTGGGAGTCTGGAGGTGTGAAGTATGTGTGGAAGCGTCCGGGGCAGAGTGTAGGAAGTCTCTATGGGGGTCTGTGGGTATGTTTCCTTTTTCCTCTCCTGTAATCCAACTCTTTGGTGTCTGAATCCCTTGGTCTTCCAGTGGGTAATGAATGAAGGTGACTCTTGGCTTCAGTCTTCCATTTACATTATTTATTAGTGAGTATGTATGTGTGTGTAGTCGCCTCTTGATCCCCAAGGACCTTAGTGGCCTGACTTGGCTCTAGCTAGGGCTGAAAGCAGCCTTCCCCCGGGACCCCCAAGTTAGAGAGCTTTGACAGTTCTTGGAGATCTGTGAGTACCGGGAGTGTGTCCTTTTCCACCTGGTTGACATTTTAGGGAACTGTATTCCAGACCCTTCCTGTCGATTCCCTAGGGCCCCATTGAGCTTGATGATCCAGTGGGGTGGGGCCCACCGTTAAGAGTTTCTTCTCCGTAAATGGTGCACATTAGTTTTGGAGTAGCCCTGCTTCAAGAGAGGGTGCCAGAGGTTTGGCTGATGTAAGCAGAGTTTGTTTCACGGAGAGAGACTCTTTTCAGTGCTGTCAGGATTTTGGCCTATTAGAACTTAACGGGACACTTCTTACAGGAGATTTGGCAGGAAAAAAAGGTATTAGACGTCTGTAAACATGGTAGAATAGAATAGCTTTCTTCTGCTTCTAAAAATTCTCCTCCATGAGTCGTCAAAACCTGTGGAGTTATCAGTAATTAGCATCTCTGTAGAACTATTAGTACCATCTAGAAAAGGGCTAGCCTGAATAGTGCACTTTTCAGGTGAATAATTGGACATCTTTCCTAGAACATAGAACATAGAAGAAGCATAGCAGTAACCTCAGGCATGACATTGGCAGTTTAAAAAAGAGAAACTGGTAGCACAAGTTTTAACCAACACCTGCTTGATCAGAAAAAAAATGCGGTCTGATTATCTGGCTGCCAAGAGGGGAAGAAGAGAAGTTAGTTTCTTCGTAATTGGAAGATCTTATACCTCTCAAAATGGGGCATGAATCTTTTACGTGGCCCAAGAGACACACTGCTCCATGAGCAAGTACTACAGAGTTGGAAAGCTGGCCAGGACCTTTTGATCACTGTTGGGTTTTCTCTTCAATGTCTGCTGCTTCTGTGGCATTCGCTGACTTAGTGGAAATCAGGGGTTATAGGGTGGCACAGGGGTTATAGGGTGCCTTTTAATACAGGCAGCAGCTGTGGTGAGTACTGGGCGATAGAGCCCAGTGTTGCTATTAGGTAGTGTTTTATTTAACTGAGGTAGTCTGGGGTTTTGTGATTTTTTTTCTCTCTACATATTTAAGGTAGTTTTTTTTTTTTTTAATCATGTGGGCAGAATCAGATTAACTTTTTAAGTGTTCACCTGTTGGAAGAGTGACACCCAATGCCTTGTGTCAGTGGCTTTGTGGGGGAAGCACTTAGTTTTGAAGCAGTAACTTCCGAGAGAGGACAAGGTGTCCTCTTATTTGCGTTTGCCTGTGGTCACAAGATTCACTTTGCCTTGCCCTTTAATTTTTGGAGCAAAACATACTGGTCATTTTTTTTTTTAGACTTTCAGTTGCCTAGGAGTGACCTTTCATGTGGTGCAAATACCTTAAAACTTGTAATTTCTCTTTTAGTCACACATTTGATGTTTACAAAGTACCAAACTGGGTATTTTGAAACTCAGCAGACTTAATGATACCGATTATGTTAACTGATTAGATTTTAAAATGTGAGCAGTGTGATTTCTGGTTAGTATATGGCAACACAGTATACAGTACAAAGTAGCTACCAGCTACTGTTTGAAAAGCATTTGTGAAGCTATTTCTGATTAAGGAAAAATCAAGCAAATGTGGTTCTCCCCCCCAGACTTAAGATTTCTCCATTTAAACCATTAGTCCTGTTCTGAAATTTCCATAAGGATGTTTATACTGCTTACATTCTTACCTAAGATTCAGCAAGACGTTAGGGGAGAAATTCTCTCTATATAACACAATAAAATATCTTGCAGTTTCACCAATTACAGAGAAATTCTCTCTATATAATACAATAAAATATCTTGCAGTTATACTCTCTAAATCCATTGTGTCTAGAAAATGCTTTCAGCTAGTTTATAATCCCATGAACTAGATTCATTGCAACTAGTTCAAATAGTTTCAGGCTGTGGGTTTGAGATAGCAGAGGACTTGTGGCTTTATGGGACTTTTTTTTTTTTTCTTTTGAGACAGAGTCTTGCTTTGTCACCCTGGGTAGAGTGCAGTGGCATCATTACAGCTTACAGCAACCTCAAGCTCCTGGCTTCAAACATTCTCCTGCCTCAGCCTCTCCAGTAGCTGGGACTATAGCTCTCAAATGCCTCTCAACTTCAAGAAATCCTCCCACCTCCCACCTCCCACCTTCCCCTGAGAAGTACTGGGATTACAGGTGTGAGACACCATGCCTGGCTTTTTTTTTTTGGGCCCATTAAACAAACGGTGCATCTAATTTGGTAGTTGCTACTGAGCCTAGCACGAGGAAAGTAAAACGTTTAAGGAGTGAATTAAATGCATTGTAAATAGAAGAAACAGAATGGAGCTGATGGAGAAACAGTTTCATTCCTGGGGCTTGAGGATAACTTATTCAGCACAATAACTTATATTTGTAGTAGTCAAGCCATAACTTAGTCTCCCATCCCATTACGTAGGTGAGATTGGCACAGTCCAAGCAGCACATTCATAAATAGCACCAAGCCACTGCCAAGCCTTATTCCAACTTCCCAGAACCTTAGACAAAGTTGAACTCAGATGTTTGCTTTCTTTGAAATTATTTTTGAGAACATGGCTTCAGAAGTTAAGAAGTATTAAATATAAATTGCCTTAGATTCTTACCTGTGGTGTACTTTTGAGCAGTGTTTGGTCACTGAATACTGCAGTTTAGACTGTCTGATAGCTGAATGATAGCTGATGAGATTAGAGAGGGAGGAAGAACAAGCCTTGACTTTTTTTGTTCTCAGTGTGGAGGGAAGATGACAGGCTTCTGAAAAGCCAGAACATTCAGAGGACACCAAACATGGTTATCCCAACTCACATTCAGATGAGTTTATTGATTTGATTCTCTTTGTAGTATATGTTTGCAACATCAAATCTAGTAGATTAAATCTAACCTTGCAGGTTTGGGCACAGAAGTGGTGCTTCTGATTACATTAGAAAATAAACACAAACTCTGGTTGCCATTGTAGTTGTGAAGCAAAGAGGGCCTTTGTCTTTCAGATTTTACAGCTGTGCTTGAAGGCCCAGGTGTGCAGGGTGTTGTGAATTAAGGACTTGGAAAATACTTCCCATCCTGTTTATGCAAATTAGATTTAAAGTGCAGATGACTAGATTGTTCCAGAACTTAAACTGAGATTCTTTTTTTTTTTTAAAAGAATTGTTAGATTGTTGTATGGATGGTCCTGAAATATTCCTTTCTGCCCATTTTCCTCTTGTCACCCTGTCACTTAAGAATTCAGCAGACCTTGAACATCTTCTCATCTGTGGGACCAGCAAGGGACTGTTTGGAATAGGGAGCAGTTTAAACATACAGTAATGGCCAAGAAAAAAAATCTGGAAAGTACAAGTGCTCTCAGTCTTAGGGAGCTTTAGCTTGAGCTCAGAGTCCTTTTCTTTGCAACAAATGTCAGAAGGCTGGCCTCACTTCCTTCTCAATGGAAGCTTGGGCTAGTTAACATCTTATTTGGGTTAGGGGAGATTTCTGGCAAATAGTACTGGTTGCCTCGAGAGAAAGGTACACTGTCTAAGTCTTGCTGATACGAGTTTATGGCCACAAAATCTAATTTTTGAGTACTGTGAAAATTACGGTGCGTGTCCAGAGACCCCTCAGGGGTCTGTATTGCCACACAGTGTCCCGCTTGCTCTTGGGATGTGTCAGGCCTGTTCCTGCCCTCTTTTTCAAGAGACTGTTTTTAAAAGTAATATTTTTATCTGTTTCCTTAATTACATTTGGTTAGTAGATTTCACAAAGTTTGGACTTTTGAATGTATAATCAGTGGTAATTCTTGGAAATGTCTTCAAAAATATGAAGAAAATTCAGTGATTCAGTGTATTGTGATGATTGCTGGTTCCTGGTGAATGTCACTGTGTCCCAGCTCCCCAACTCTGCACTGTGAGGTGAAGATTTCCCTCCCTCCAGTGTTAATTACTTTGCCTGGGTTCCCCATGCAGCTTCCCCAAGCAATGTTGGGCGGCCTCTGGCTGACCTCTACCCCCACACCAGCTCACAGTAAGAGGGCCTCTCCCCCCATTATGCAGAGGTGTCTCTTTGGTGCAGTCTTTTCAGCATCTTCTCTTTTAGGGTGGACAGGAATGTGGGAAAGAGAACTAGGGTTTTGTATGACTTAACAATGCACCTGGCCCCTTGTTGTGCACCTGCTGAAGCCCTGAAGGTTTGTTAGATAGGAGGGCTGGATGGAGGTTGTTAAAAATAGCCTATGGTTATTTTAAAAGTGACATCCACAGGAGAGGCAATCTAGAGAAGGGATTCATTGAATTGAAAGTTTCTATAACCACTAATGCCAGGGTCTTTTTTTCCCCCTCCTTTTCCTCATTTGTTTAAAACATAAAAGGGATTCCTCTGACTCACCCCATAGGTAGGACTTTAAGTTTCCTGAGCAAGCCCAACTTTCAACTCTTTTTGAATAAGCTTGGTGACATTTA